GGTACTACAAGTGCAACATGGATGTTTTGAGGTATTACAATATCTCTAACTACCCTGTAGGGGAATAAAGTAATGTTGTAAGCATATGCCTATGCTTGAAAGGTTGAACCTTGAACATCACCATACATCATATTTATAATTAACATTCCTACCTCGACACCATCACAATCAAATTCATTGAAATCTACTTCAAACCATTGTGTCTCGAGAAGGTGATGGTGGCTTTGTTCCACCTCCAGTTTTTGATGTTTCACGGCGATAAGATGACAACTCTTTTTTTGTATTCAATTTAGTGCACTTCCACTGATTCATCAATTGTTTTTTGTCTCTTGTCCTTATATTTGCTAGATTAAATCTGATGTTTTGATTAAATAATGTGGTCATTTTTTTGAGATGCAGGTACTTATTAAAATGTTTACTTCTCTGTTATATCGCTCCAAGCCTTCATTTTCTCCTTATTAGTATTCGTGCTTATTAAATCTTTGTTCTCAATTATTGATATATAGGGTCGTAGAATATTTCTAAAAAGTTGCTGTAACAAACGCAATAAACAAAAGCAATGAATAATGGTTCATGTTTCAGTTTTAATCAACAATAATACTCGATAATACATACGGATAGTTAACCTCAATTGTATTGAAGCACTGAGGAAGGTTAGCACAGTTTTTTCACAAATATTTTATATTATTTCACAAATATTTTGTATAATGAAAATAACTAGGTATATAATTATTAATTTTAAAATTTAAACAATAATTAAAACTCCTATATTTGTTTAAAAGGTAAATGTCATTGTCAGATGTCAATTGTCATGGTCATTCAAAATTCTTGTTAAGCTGCTAAGCTAGAATATGCGTGAAGTTAGCTTCACGCATATTCTATTTCTTTTTACTTGTAGTTTGTCTTATTCCCATCTCGCTCGCGCACGCTATATCACACTGCCAATTTTGTGTCATAGGTCGCGCGCAATCGTAAAAATTTCACTCTCATCAATTTTTCATAACGCGCCTAAAGAAGTACAACTTCAAAAATTAGGGGTGGACTACCCTTAATATTTATGGGGATGAAAAATAGATGTTGTCCGATTCTCAGTTATACCCAATATGCACACAAAATTTCATGAGAATCGGTCAAGCCGTTTCGGAGGAGTTTAACCACAAACACCGCGACACGAGAATTTTATATATTAGATTTATGCTCTCAAACATCACACATATTAAAACGAGGACAATCAAATACTTATGAAAATATGTTAGAAAAAGGATACACACATGTGAAAAAATCATGAGAACTTAAGAACTCACAACCAAGTATCGCCGAGCTCGCAATATCGCCACACACAACTCCCGAGGGAACTCTTTGTATCGAAGAAGTCACATGGGTCGCTTGGGTATGTAATTACTATTACTAGCGAAGTATTAGTTTGTCAAAGTTTTAAATTCAGTTTAGTGCGTAACTACCGGAAGTCTCATGAGGGAAGCTGGGTGTTACCCGTGCATTCAAAGACAGTTGCGCATGCCCATGCCTGCTTAGGATTATTCTTATATTGATGTGTGGGTAAACCGTGACTCTGAATATTTTCTTACTAATATTAATTTTACGTATATCACTTCGATGTTCATCGTTCCACAAGTGTTTCTTAAGGCACTTTTTGCGCACCATTATGGAACTAGCGGGCCGTCGATGTATTTCCGAACCAATTTGAATTAGGTTCCTTAAAAGAAACAATTCTTAAAATCACTAAACACTATCTCTTATTCTATAGTGTCTTATTTTTAACGTAAAAAATTCTCAACCTCTTTTTTTTTCAAACAAAACATCATAACGCATTCAAAATTTATTGTAAAATTGGCAGCCTGTCCCGACTTTGCACTGCTGGATATTTTTTAACAAATACAGCCTATAACAAACACACCATTAGTATGTTGAATTAAGCCTAAATAATTCAACATACTATGGTGTGTTTATTTCTTTATATTTTTTTTCGTCTATATATTTGTTAAGAAACCAGTTGCCAAATAGTGTGTGAAACCATATATCGTTTATTTTTTATTCTTAGACGCCTGTGTCATTTAAGTGGTATAATCATGAATTTTTTTTTTTTTTTTTTATAGAACGGGGGGCAAACGGGCAGGAGGCACACCTGATGTTAAGTGACACCGCCGCCCATGGACACTCTCAATGCCAGAGGGCTCGCGAGTGCGTTGCCGGCCTTTTAAGAATTGGTACGCTCTTTTCTTGAAGGACCCTAAGTCGAATTGGTTCGGAAATACTTCAGTGGGCAGCTGATTCCACATAGTGGTGGTGCGCGGCAAAAACTGCCTTGAAAAACGCTCAGTTGTGGAACGGCGGACGTCGAGGTGATACGGGTGGAATTTCGTATTCTGTCTCGACGTCCGATGATGAAACTCAGCTGCAGGTATTAATCCGAACAACTCCTCTGAACACTCTCCATGGTAAATGCGGTAGAAGATGCAGAGTGACCCCACATCTCTACGCAACGCCAAAGGATCAAGCCGCTCGGAGAGGGATTGGTCGTCGATGATTCGAACCGCTCTGCGTTGTATACGGTCAAGTGGAAGGAGCTGGTACTGGGGAGCCCCCGCCCAGAGGTGAGAGCAGTACTCCATGTGGGGCCGAATTTGCGCTTTATATAGTTGCATGCGGTGGCCCGGAGTGAAGTACCGCCTCGCCTTGCTGAGCACACCAAGCTTTTTGGAGGCTAATTTAGCCTTTCCTCCAAGTGACCGCGAAACTGAACGTCGTTCGATATGTCAACGCCAAGTATTCCAATGCTGGCTGTGGCTTTAAGAAGAGTGTTTTCGAAAAGAGGAGTAGCGACAAAGGGTGTTTTTTTAGCGGAAAACGCGCAAACTTGTGTCTTCTTGGGGTTAAATTGGACTAGGTTTTGTCTGCCCCAGTCTGAGACTCCACGTAGTAGAGTTTCGACTTCAGACACAAGTTTGTTCCGGTACTCATCAACAACTGCCCGAGAAATACCTGCCCGGCCAGTATAAAAAGTATCCCCAGTGCTGTCATCCGCATAGCAAGGAATGTTGCTAAGTTGCAACATATCATTGATATGCAGAAGAAATAGGGTCGGGGATAGAACACAGCCTTGTGGGACCCCAGCGTTCACAGGTTTAAGGTCGGAACATGCTCCGTCGATGACGACCTTGATGCTCCGATCGGCCAGAAAGCTGGAGATCCAATCGCATAATTTCTCGGGAAGCCCATAGGCTGGAAGCTTCGAGAGCAGTGCTCTGTGCCACACCCGATCGAAGGCTTTCGCTATGTCCAAACTTACCGCCAGCGCCTCCCCCTTGGACTCAATTGCCTCTGCCCACCTATGGGTAAGGTATACAAGGAGGTCACCAGCTGAGCGACCACGACGAAAGCCGTACTGAGAATCGCTAATCAACTGGTGGCCCTCTAGATACCACAAGAGCTGGCAATTAATAATGGTTTCCATTATTTTGGAGAACAAGGAGGTTATAGCTATTGGGCGATAGTTGGACGGATCAGAGCGATCGCCTTTTTTAGGGATCGGATGTATCGAAGCGGTCTTCCAGCACTTCGGGACAGTGCCGAGCGAGTACAGGTACCGGAAAAGGCGCGTTAAGACCGGAGCCAACTCAGGAGCACAAGTACGCAGCACAATTGGGGGATACCATCCGGCCCGCTCGACTTATGAATGTCCAAGGAAGATAGTGCTTTGCGGACAGCACGTTGCCGGAATATGATTTCCGGCATCGAAGAATCACACCGCGAAATGGTCGGTGGTGATCTTCCTCGGTCATCCAAAGTCGAGTTGGACGCGAAGAGACAGCCCAAAAGGTCGGCCTTCTCCTTCGCAGTGTGGGCCAGAGAGTCATCCTCCCTGTGCAGTGGCGGAATGGCGGGCTGACAAAAAATTCCCTTGGACAGCTTTGGCGAGAGACCAGAAGGCTCGAGTCCCTGAAGGGAGCTGGGCCAATCTCTCGCCAAATCTGGCAATGTGCTCTGACTTTGCCTTAGTGATTTCCCGTTTGAAGGACCTGGAGGCTGAGTTATATGCTGTTTTAAGTTCGCTGGTATTGGCATCACGAGATTTCGCCGCTTCCGCCCATGCCTTAAAGCATTCTCGCTTTCGACGCGAGGCCGCCTTGCAAGAACGTTTAAACCAGGGCTGAGACTTGCCACCGATCGGCACCGCAGAAAATGGAATAAAGAGTTCCATGCCCTGCAGAACCACTTCGGCGACAGAGGCGGCGACGGAATCTGGAGCTTCCGGCGAAAAGCACATAGGCCCCAAGGGTAGGACGCAAAGAAAGACCGCATCCCGTCCCAATCTGCTGACTTATAGTGCCAAATACGGCGACAACCCATAAAGCGGGGCCGTGAAGGGCGCGTAGATGGCACAGTACTCCGGACCACACAATGATCCGATGAACCCAATGGCGGGTCAACAGAGACTTGATAGTTCTCCGGATGTGAAGTCAGCAGAAGGTCCAACAAAGAGGGTTTATGACCATCCACATCTGGTATTCGCGTAATCGCAGGGACCAATTGTGTCAGGTCGTAGGCTAAAGCAAAGTCGTGAAAGGATCTTCCCGCGTGATCGGTGGTTTCAGAGCCGAGCCAATCGGCATGGTGGGCGTTAAAATCGCCAAGTATCACGATTTCAGCGGTAGGAACCCTTTCGAGCAGGGAATCTGTAGCCATTTGGATGTGCTCAATGAGTCGGTCAGTTTCGGTATTTCCGCTATGGGACCTATACAGGCATGCGTAGAATCGCGGATGGTCATCGCAGTCTACGCGCAGCCAGAGGTTAGATAGGTCCCTTCCTTCAAGCGTCCCGAGGCGACGAGAACAGATATCCTCCCTGACGTACACGCAAACTCCCGCCCGCGGCACAAATGAATGTTCCAATTTGTACCCCGGGTAGGAGAGGTAGGAAGTATCAGCCGGGGAGGAAATCTGAGTCTCGGTAAGAAAGAGCAAGGCCGGCTTCGCAGTCTCTAAATGGTAGTGGACTGCGTTGATATTGGAATTGAGCCCCCTAACATTTGTGAAGTCCACGGCGAGCGTGGACGGGGGTGCCTTTGTTGAATTGCTCCGTTTGCCCCGAGAACGATGACTGTTTTTGTTGAGCGCAGAATTGCCCCCCCCAGAATACGAAGGGCAGCCTGTGCGTCCACCACCGGGTGCTGAGTGTCCCGGTGTTGGACGCCCAGAGGGGGATTCTCCACCGCGAGCGCGTGTGGTACCCCCCTGGGGTAGATTCTGTTTGTTCTGCACCTTCATATTTCATATGGGGGGATGGGCTCGGGAGTCTCCCTCACCGTACGAAACGCGAGTACAATAAGGCGAACCTATTGCCTCACTTCACGCCGGATTTCTAAGAGACAGTGGTACTGCCCCGGTCGTGCCTGCCCATTAGGCTGAAGCCCGAAGGCAACAGCATGGCACTCCCACTAGGAAGGGGTTGACTGATTGCGCTGATGAAATAACCTCTGTCACAGGTTATTTCACCAGTGGGCGATGGGGTCGTCACGTCCCGACGCCTGAAACACTTACGGCCTGGCCACGGGGATCGGCGGTGCGAACTGCGATGCGGTAGGCGAGGCGACCATTCGCGCGGGGCCGTTTGCAGGCCACGGACCAGTCACGTTTGCCGCCGCGACCAGTAAGGAAGTTCGACAGCGAAATGTCTTTATCGAAATCATCTCAATATTGCTTGGAAAGTAATAGCTTTTGGTGCAAGACCTAATATTTGGAGAAATTGTGGAGAATTCCACAAGAAGTATGAGAAATTCAGAATATATCCAGAATTATTTTTTTGAGTATACCAGAATGAGTATTGAAACCTTCAATTATATTCTTATGAATATTCAACCAGAATTGGAGAAAAAAGTTAATGCAAATAGAATTTTAAGTTCCGCTGAAAAATTGTTTTTGAGATTAAGGTATATTAAATTAATGCTGTGGATGGCCAGACTTCCAAATAGCTGGTCTAGCCAGTATTTCAGTAACAAAAAACTCTGTATTCATTTTTCGCCGCGACCACGACTAAACTTATTTATTCCCTTCTCTATTCGCCGCGACTGCCGCTCGACTCCGTGGCTTGCACCGTACTGATTCATGCATTTGTTTCGCTCGCCCGTCGCGACGTCAGTCGCCCGCGCGATTCGCTCGGTACATTTCGCCGGTCGCATCGCTGGTCGCCGTTGCGCGTGGCTTGATTAGTACATTGCTATGAGTTTATTTCAGTCGCTAGACACATCGCGGTTCGCACCGCGCGAATATTCGCGTCAGCGAATGTCCCGTGGCCAGGCTGTTAGGATAGTCTTTTTTATTACAAATAACGTTGCCAGTTCCATGAATTAGGTGTGATACCCATGCAAACGACAACTATTCTACAAATAAAAGCAGAACAAATTAAAACTTTATAAATTTTATTGCGATTCTAGAAAATTATGTCCAAAACGTACGACGCTACAGTCGAATAGTTATTTCATTATGCCGAGAGACGTTAAATAGGAAATGTTTTAAACTGTAAATTATTCACAAAATCGAGTGAAATGTCGAACGGAAGCTCTTTGAGTTGTGCCGGACGAGAAAATTCGTATTTGCTTCACAGGGAATTCCTTGCTTTTCATTAATCTCGACCGTTTACCTGCATTTCTTACGTAAGAATTAGCTATTCAAGAGTTATTCAATTTGCAATACACTTGTTCATTTCAATTAGTAATTATTCTCTAATGGGATTTTAATAAATAAATGTTCGAATGAAATAAAAGCTCAAGACAACTTTAGTTTTAAAGGAAACGAAAACTGCGATTGACGATAATTTTATAGTTACATTACAGATAGTTGGCTGGTGTCAAATTGTGCATACTCGGCGTAATAAAGACCGTGGGACAATTTAGCATATGTTACTTTAAACTACTGAATTTAGATATAATCTAGACATGAGAGAAAGAAAACGTGCGAGATAAATTCGAGCTTTCACACCTTATAAATAAACTAAAAGTTTTATTTTAATTAAAAATCGTTTAATAAAACCTAAACATAACAATCAAATATACAGTCTTTACAATTTTCTTAACCTTAAAAATTAATAAAAAGGAGATTATAATAGATTTAAGAAGTTTGGTCCCTGTGGCGATAAAGGTACACCTTTATCGCTGGCAGCATTTCGTCGCTGTATTGCCATACTTATTCGTTAAGCGAGGAAAGCACCAGCTCTGGGGTCACCAGTATTATCTACCAGACGCCAACTGAAATCTTTAATTAGCTCCTGTGCACTAATAACCCCACGGCCCAAGTGTCTCAAAGGGAACAAAATCGAAGTTGGAGGAAAGACTCTAATATTTGAGCCGTTTATTATTTTGCTGCTCCAGCTTTTTGCTTGTCCGAGGGAGGTGAGACGGTGCTAACGTGTCCATAGAAGTAACATCCCATACCAAACCCCTTCCCATCTTCCAAGCGTCTCTAGCGATGCTTTATAGAACTTGTTTTTTTATACCTCCGGCGGCGACCAACATAATTTATGTGTTAATAATTATTTATTTGCTTATAACTATACAACTACCCTAATAGGTTAGCGCCCATGCGATTATTGTGTAACATAGGATATATATATATATGTGATTGTATTACTAATTTACTTTTATTATTTACGAATATAAAAGTGAATTTATAACATTATTCAGATAACGTGCTTCACAGCAGTATAAGCCGGTGTCATATTTATATTAAAGTTTTTTACTTTAATATAAATATGCCTGGAACTGTGGCTTGAGTATGCAACTCTAATTCCTGAGGCCGTAGGATCGAGCCCCGGACGTGCAATGTGCGCAATTAAATCTCGACCCATTAATGAAAATATTATGAGGCAACCGATGCCATAGACCCCAAGTTGACGGCGGGTAACGAGATTCAACCTATCGGTGGTTGACCTCTGAACCGACTTGACACCTATTTCCTTGCATTAAAAAAAACCCGAAACGGATACAGAAATCTGAGGCCAAGATTATTTTTATTAAAAAAGAAAGTTTGAGTTTTACTGAAATATCCAATAACGGTTATATACTATTATAAAACAACTGCTAAATTGATATTTAAAGTATATTGGAAAAACATTTTTTTTAAATGTTGCATGTTAATTAGCGAATACATTTTCATAATTCCATGAAACATTTTACAATGAAAATATATATTTACCTGTATCAATTTTTAACATTGCGGCCTTACACAAATCTTTCATCCTGAAAAATCAAAGCTAAAATCACGTTCATATAAATGTAATACCTCGCCTCTTCGTTTTCCTAGAAAGTTATTGTTGTGAAGATAAACCTATTGGATTTAAGGGAATTATTTGAAAGTCTTACACGTTATGTTTTGCCCAAAATGTATTTGTTAAGCTGCTTAGAGAGGTTAACGCTTGTTTGCTCTATTATTTCACATTATATTACGTATATGCAGGTGAAAATTAATTTGCCAGACCGCCGGACTTTGCAGTTGGTCTCTATTAAGACTGGCCTACACGGCAATGACCCTGCGCTTGGAGCAATCAAGGCGTGGAAAATTGCTGAAGAAAACCAACCAATAAGACACTGGGCGGAATAAGGCACCTAAATAGTGGTCGTCGATTGTTTTACCATATATTACTTACGGCACGCCTACTGTAAAATTTATTATCATTTACAACATAATGAAGCTTATATTTAAATAAAATTTTGTATGAAATACAAAAGAAATTTTATAGAATAGATAAAAATCAAGATACTCCGACACAAAAGGTTTTTGTAGAGGCTTCACTGAAGTTGTGAAGCTACATCAAGAAACAAACAAAGTATAATCAAGTACAAACATGATGACTTAACAATACTTCGGAGAGAGGTAATTGAAAATACCTCGCATTTCATCCTTCACAGTAAAGAAGGAACAGTATGCAAATTAATAATTTTTTACTAAAATAAACAAAAAAATTTTTATAATTATTATTACTCATAAATTAATCAACATAATAAATTTAATAAAAATAAATGATTCTATTTTGTTTGACTTAGAGTTGTTTTATTATATTATAACAAAAAATTAAAATAGTCCTACTATATTTTCTCCGACCTTTAAAGTACAGTATACCTTAATATCTATTAAAACGATATTATTTTACTTTAATAAAGCTATGATTAAAATTTTTCATACATTATTTTTTTCCGTTAGGTAAAGTATTTCGTACATGAATGCGTTAAATACGGTCCTTGGTATAGTTATTATATATATTTCCTCTGTGCGTGTTTGTGTGGCTACACTCCCACAAACGACGCATGATTGTTTTTTATTTTTTTTTTTGTGTGTGAGGGGGGGGGGGTTGGGTTTTTTTTTTCAAAAAAACGGGGGGGGCACGGCCCTCGGTTTTTTTCTTTTTTTTTTTTTTTTTTTTTTTTTTTTTTTTTTTTTTTTTTTTTCTTTTTTTGGGTGGGGTCCACTAGTTATTATATATATTCGGATCAGTTAACTACGTAAATACAATTATGAGTAAAAGTTGCTTGCAATTCCTTAACAATACTTCCGAGAGAGGTAATAGAAAATAGCTCGCATTTCATACGTTACAGAAAATCAGTTACTTAGTTTTGCATTTTCATAAATATTGTCCTAACATATTCTTTCATTGACGAATAGCCTAATCCACAAATGCAAATTTTAATTAATTTATTAATCTAGTACGTGCTATTACAGAGTTATTTTATAAAAAGAGGAACAACAGCCTTTTCTGTTCGTCCAACTGTTTTGTTTATTCGGCGCTACCGTTCACACGCTTCGGGATTGCCTTTTTACAACGCAATTTTTCAAGTGCCCCTGCTTCATATTTACGCGAGTCTTTTAATATTCTTGTTTTATGACGCGGAATGTGCTATTGTGGATTCGTAATGTGACTCACTTGTGTTAAACGTACGCTATTCACATGATACCTTATTTCTATTATGATATAATATATACATAACAAAACACGATCAAAAAAAGTAAGTCAGTCTAATTGAACTGTAAGTTACACTTTCGTTTCTTTCCTTCAACCGTGTTTAGCCTGTGATGAAAAGAGACAGGGGACTAGCCAAAACGGCTCGATTCGACTATTTTAGTTATAAATATTTAAAACCAAATATTTTCTTAAAAATATAAAGGAAATATAAATTATTTATATAAAGAAAAGAATATTTTGGACATAAATATAGATTAGTCAGGAATAATGTAGCATTCTCATTGAACTGCATTAGAAATCTTTACAAACACATAAAAATACAAATCAATCTTTACAATATTATAGATGCTATGGGTATATGTATAAGAATTGGCGTTGGCCTCAGATCTCAGTATCAGTTTCGTGATCATTTGTTGTTTTAATAGGCAAGTATGGGTGGTAGGTGATCTGTCGACTATTTCTAGGCCTTGCTGGTTTCCTCACGATATTTTTTTGAACCGGACGAGTGAGTGTTAAATGCGCATATAGACAGAAGGTCCATTGATGTGGAGTTCGAAGGTACGACCTCAAGGATGGGAGACACGCTGTAGACACTTGGCCAACACGTTTCCTATGGTCATAAGACTTATGACCATAGGAATGACGTTATGACTCATAACTATCAAAACGATTAGAACCGGCAACGCACTTGCGAGCCCTCTGGCAATGTGTGTCTATGGGCGGCGGTATCACTTATTA